TGGGGAAGGACGCTGTCATGCCTGTTCCATGCTCGGTCACACGTGACATGGTGAGCGGTTCTCATGGACCCCCTCCCCCCGGATCCCCCACTCACCGGATGCATTTCCTGGTGCGAAAGGAGGCGCCGTCCCCACACGTACTGGAGCAGGCGCTCCAGCCTCCCCATGGCCCCCATTCCCCACGGCCCGGCTGGCGCCGATGGCGGGGCTGAGGCTCCAGGCCGAACGCCAGGGTCCTGCTGGCTGTTCCCTACTTAAAGGAAGATGACAAAGTCACCCCTCCCGGATGGGCCAGCCCCTCCCAGCCCTGGGCCTCTCCGGTTATATAAGCGACAGTTCCCATAGGGGCCCCCCAACCCACACCGGGAGGGGTGTCTCAGTCCCTCTCCCCCCAGATCCTCCCCTGCCCCACACCGGGAGGGTGACACCAGAGTGTCACCCACGTCCATCCATTCCCTTTGCCCTGTCGCCCACACGTCCAGCCCAGTGCAGAGCTGGCCGATCCCCAAGAACCTTCCCCTGTTATTTTGTTACACGGCCCCTGGAAAACCGCCGTGCAGCTGGCACCGGCCCCCCGGGCTCCCTGCCAGCGGGGCATCCTGGGACACTCGCCACGGAGGGAGCGCAGCTGCAGCGCGCTGGAGAGAGCTGCTTCCAATTGAACAACGGGGGGCGGGGGAGCGGGCTGGGAGTCAGGCGTGTGGTTTCCATTCACGGTTTGGATGGAGGCCACGGGCGGCTTGTAGCTCTAACAATAAGGTCTGAGATCTGCCCAGTTTGGGCCACTCGAGAAGGCTTGGGGGGCGGGGGGGTGAGTGAGTCCGGGCCACATGGCTTCTCTGGTGGAGTCAGCATCCTAGATCCCCCCCCCTTTATTTTTGCAGGGCAGTTATCATCACCCAGTGAAATCAACCCCCCCCTCCCAGGCCGCCGCCACCTTCCCCAGCTCTGTAATTGTCTCCTTCTCTGGTTTCCGTCCTTTCCACTCCTTTCCCTGAATCCTGCAGGATCCCTCCAGCGCCTGCTTTATCTCTGCTCCGACTTTGGAATGAAGATTCCTTCCTGGCTTCCCATCCCCTGGCTCCCCCCCAGCCAGGCCTGGCTCCCCCTCCAGTCCCCTTCCCTGCTATCCAGTGGCCTTCTCAGACAGTGCTCGGGAGGGGGTAGAGGGACCGGCCTGGCGAGAAGAGAGACGAGCCCCAGGCTGGAGAGTCCAGAGCCAGATCTGGATGGGAACTTCCCCAAAGGGGGGTGGGGGAGGTTGGATACACCTTTACTTGTACTGCCCCTGGCTATGCAGCTCCAGGGGGAGCGGGAGGACATGCTAGCAGCCTGCAGGAGTGTGAATCACGAGAGCTCAGCTCTCCCTTTGCCCAGAGCTGGAGGCAAGAGCATAAGAACGGGCCTACTGGGTCAGACCAAGGGTCCATCTAGCCCCGTATCCTGTCTTCCGACAGTGGCCAGTGCCAGGTGCCCCAGAGGGAATGAACAGAACAGGGCAGCTGTTTGACAACACAAAGCAACAACAGCTATAGAGGGGATTTTGGGGGAGATGGGATGTAAGTGTCTCCAGCTGGAACCTGGCCAGGATTCTGGGAGTATCATCCAGTGATCCATCCCCTGTTGCCCCTTCTCAGCTCCTGGCAAACAGAGGCTAGGGACACCTTCCCTGCCCATCCTGGCTAATCACCACTGATGGACCTATCCTCCATGAATTTATCTAGTTCTTTTTTGAACCCTGTTAGTGTCTTGGCCTTCACAACATCCTCTGGCAAGGAGTTCCACAGGTTGACTGTGTGTGAAGAAATACTTCCTTTTGTTTGTTTTAAACCTGCCGCCTATTAATAAACCTGCTGCCTATTAAAAGCTGGAAGCTGGAAGGAACCTCCAGGCCCAAATCAGTTCCTGCATCTCTGGGACTCCCAGCTGCTGCATTCCTGGGGCCAGATGATGGAAAAAGCAGAGATGCAAATGCCCCCCTCCTCCCCCGCACACAGATTCACACACACGGGCACACACACAACGCCACACACATATTGTACACACACATGCATACATGGGGTTTTGCAGGCCTTGTACTACACACATGCCCGCCCGCCCTCACACACACGTGCACATGGCTGCACAGGGGGCCTGACCACCAGGAAAGCCGAGTGCCAGAAGCCGCTGAGAGACAATGGGCTGGGCTGCGAGTGCAGAGCATCCCCCCCCCCCCGTGGAAGCTGACCCACAGATGAGCTGTGCCAGGGTCCAGCGGACGCCCGCTCTGGTGGCAAACTACAGCTTCCCACCCCAGGCCTCTTTGATGCTCCCTGGGACAGCCACCACCCCTGGCATTCAGCCAGACCCTGGGGGCTCAGCCCCCCTCTCACTCCAACACCCTCTGGAGCTGTCGGCGGAATGACCCGTGCAGGGGACCTGGGGGCAGATGCACCCAGGGCCCCATTCGCGGTTGCCCTGCAACCTTGTGCCAAGTGGGCACAGTGCACAACTGTTGTGAGCGTGAGCGTTTGCACCTGCCTGTGTCCTTAACCCAGGCCCCAGCCCTAGGACAGGAGGGATGAGCTCAGTGCCGTGGGTGGATCCCCGCCTCGGTGGTTAGGGCTGGGGGAGGATGCAGGCCTATTTGGTAATTCGCACACCAGCGACTTCTTGTCTGCAGCGTGTTTCCTGGGGCCTGCGCAAGCCTCCTCCACACCCAGGGCTGGGATTCCCAGGGCCCCCCCACAGCCCCCACTGCTGCGCTGGGTTAGATTCTTCCTCTGCTGACGGGCTCCCCTTGTGACACCCTCCCTCTAGCAGTGCAAATGCTGCTCAGAACACAGGCACCAGCCCAGGTGGAGCTTACAGCCGAGCTGGCCTTTGTGAAGAGTGATCCACGGAGCCAGGTTCTCACCCCAGCTCTGGGAAGGGGAGTGAGGGGGTCTAGTGGGTTAGAGCGGAATGGGGCTGGGAGCCAGGACGCCTGGGTTCATCTCTTGCTGTGTGGCTCTGGGCAAGTCCCTTCTGGGACACAACTATGCCCTGGCAAGGAATATTACAGCAGTGTCCAGCCACCTCGCTACTTCACTGACGGGCTCTCCCAACAGCTAAAGCCCAGCGTGTTCTCTTGGGGAATGTGAGACGTTTGTATAGATACGTCACACGCAGAATATTGGGTTCCAAACCCGGCGAGGAGAAACTTGTCACCTGCAGCAGGGCGGGTCTCCGAGCTGACTCAATGCACACTGCGAACAAGTCACATCTGTCAGCTCGGCCCCGCCCTGTGGTCGTGAGTCCTCCTGGCCACCTTGGGTAACCCCCAAACAGCGTCACACCTGCCCTGCGCTGCGGCCCACTCGACACCCCCACGCAACCAGGCCGATCAGGATCAGCTCCGTGGGCATCCGGGTCCCAGAATGCACTGGGCCCTCTGGGCGCCGGCCGGAGAATCCCAAGGCCTGGCCTGTTAACTCCGCAGCAGATGCCGGGATTAATGAGCTAAGGGCAGAGCTGGAAATAAACAGGGAGATAAAGGGGGGGTCATCTGGCAACTGGGAAAGAAGCAAATGGCCAAGCCTGGCTGGATCAATTCACTTGCTCCTGGACAAGATCTCCCCAGGGTCTCCTATGGATCCCAGGATCTCCCAAGCCACCCCACCCCACCCCAAAGGGGGGGACCTGACCCTCACGAGCTGCCGACCCTGCCTCCCTAGGAGCAGACAACAGGGGAGGGCTGGGGCATCCCGTTAAAGAGACACACAGCAGCTCTGGCTGCAGAGGAATAAAGCACTGAGAAGAGAAGAGAAGAGACTATTTCCTGTATGACGAATGGAACATGCCTCCCGCAACGGAGGCCCAATGCTGCTGGAGACGGGGCCCTGACCCCTTGTGGCTGCTACCGATCTCCCCCCACACCCTGGGCGGGGTCTGTTACTCCCAGAATCCTGGCCAGGTTCCAGCTGGAGACACTTACATCCCATCTCCCCCAAAATCCCCTCTATAGCTGTTGTTGCTTTGTGTTGTCAAACAGCTGCCAGCTCTCACTCCAGGGGGGGGGCTGCACTGCAGTGGTGGGTGGGAATGCTTAGATAAGGACGGATGAATTGCTATCTGTCAGTTAGCCAGATACAGTTGCATTGGGACCCTTGGCAAGTGCTTAGAGTTATTTTTATTTCCAGAGCTCTGGGAGGGCCAGAGACTCCCATGCTTCAAGGCATGAGCCAACCCGTAAATCACAGGGGTCAGGAAGGAAATTTCTAAGGGGGAAGGTTGTTCCATTATTGTCACTGCAGGGTTTCGCACACCTGCCTCTGTAGCAGCTGGTGCCAGCCCCCATCAGAGAAGGAACGCTGGGCTAGACGGGCCATGGGTCTCATCCTGCCTGGTAGTTCCTGTCTTCCTCGCTTGGTGTTTATCTAGGCCTATTGTCTGTTAGGGGTTGGCAGGATCCTGCAGTTACAGGTGGTGATACCACGACGTGCATCAACGGGGACAGATCTCTGGGGAGATGACCCCCACATTGCTGCAGGCTTGGGCCAGGCCTCAGTGAAGGTCTGTCCTCCAATCTGGCCTGTCCACATGGTCTCTTCTCCTCCACTTACCTGAGTGCTGCCGATGCCCCAGCCAACACTCAGCCAGGCCAAGAGCAGGACGGTCCCCAGGGAACTGTGCCTGCAAAAAGCCAGAGAGAAAACTCAACGGGGATTCCAGAGTTTGCCCTGCCCGGCACCTCAGCCCCCAACTCCCTGCTAGGCGGCAAAATCTCCCACACTCCCTGCCCCATGGAACTTATACAGACCAGGCAAAGGAAGCATTTTGAATCCCCATTTCATGGGTGGGTGGGGAGAGTTGTGGCCCAGGGAGGCGAGTGACTCACCCAGTGTTGCATAGAGAGGCTGTGGGGGAGCTGGGAACTGAACCCAGGTCGTCTGGGTCCCAATCCAGTACCTGACCCACAGTCAGTCACAATGCTGGCCCTGGCACACCTGAGATGCCATGGGCCGAGGCTGCTGTTCCAGCCCAGACAGGCATGGGGGAGCCAGCGAGAAAGGCCAGGCTGGCGTAATTCTGCAGCTTCAAGGAGGCTGGAGAAGCAGCCAAAGCTACTGAGGTTGGCCGGTTCTTAGAGGCACCTGGGGGAACAGGGATGGGGGGGGATCTCTGGAGTGTGTATCCCCCCCTTAGTTACCCACATTCATATCTATAGGTGCATGAGTGACGGGATCCCTGCAAAGCACGCCTGGCTTGGCCCCGGCCCTTCCCCCACTCCCCTGAGATTTCGGCCTGAGCCAGACAAGACACACAGAGATAAGACAAGACAGGACAGCTCAGGTGTGAGATCATCGGGGAGGGGAACAAGGTGGGGTGGATTCCTGCCAGCCACGGGGGTGGCGGTCTGACTGGAGATGTGGGGGAGGAGGGTCTGAGATGAAAAATGTGGGGCCAGATTTTGACCCTCTCCCCTGCCCCTCCGAAACAAATGTATTTGTGGTTTTTTTGACGGGGGGAGTCAGTTCAGACCAGTTGGGGGGGGGGTGT